AAGTATTTTCTCTTTTTATGTGCTCTAAAGAGCGTGAAGACAATGATCTACATGTTCTTCCTATGTAGGTGGCATCACAATCAGAACATTTTAATCTATAAACACCACGACGGTTCACATAATTGATGGGGTCTTTAGAATTGGATATATACTGACCCAAGTTATTAGGTACTTTAAAAGAAACATGAATATTTTCAACCGATCGTTTGATTAGATTTCTAATATCCCCAGAAAGACTCTCATGATGATAAGGAAGTGAAACATAATTGGGTTTGGTGGTAGGATCCCCGGGGAATGCGGCCTCCTGTAGGATCCTACGACGTTTTCTATAGATGAGTTTATTGATGATGTTATGATCATAACCGTTGTTGACTGCTATTTGTCTAATTATATTTAGTTCTTTTGTGTAGTTTGAATGAGAAAGTGGAATGGTTTCCAGGCGATGGATGTAACTGTGAAAAGCTGCATATTTATGAGACATGGGGTGGTTAGATGAGAAGGGTATTACATGGTCAGTCTGTGTGGGTTTCCTTTAGATACTGAAGTCGAAGTCGTCATTTAATCTGGTAATGGTGAGATCAAGAAAATTAATTGACATGAAAGATTTTAGTTCCATGGTGAACTTGATATTGGGGTGAATTTGATTAATTTTAGAAAGTAATAGTTCAGCTGAATTGGAGTTACCTGAAAGGAAGACTAAACAGTCATCAACATAACGAAACCAATGGAGTATTTCAGGATTTTTCATAATCTGTGTGGATTCTAAATGATCCATAAATACATCAGCTAATAGAGGGGAGAGACAGCTACCCATGGCTAAGCCATCAGGTTGTCTATAATATTTGTTGTTAAAAACAAAAAAATCTTGGTCTAAACTAAGTTGTAATAGTTGGATAATGGAGTTAGTAGTAGACTGGGTGATGGCATTGTTTGTTAGAAGAGAGTGAACCAGATTAATTGTTTCTCGTTTGGGGACAGAGGTAAATAGATTGCTGACATCAAATGATAGCATAGTAATGTTGGGGTGAAGATTGATCTGTTGTAAGTTGTTGACTAGATGACTAGTATTTTTGACTGAGAATCGAGGGGTAAAATTCATCATGTTGTTAATAAGATTCAATATGAATTTTGATAAGATGGAAACTGGAGTGTTTATGAAACTAACAACTGGACGAATAGGAATGCTCTCTTTGTGTATCTTAGGTAAACCATACAGTCTTGGTGTTAAAGGGTTACTTGGAAGTTTGTAATATGGTGCAAAATGTTCGGAGAAGAAATCTGTGAAATGTTTGATGTTATCTTTTAATTTAATTATAAACTTTTTTAAGGGATCTGTTGTGAGTGGAGTGAAGTTATTATTGTTAAGGAAAGTAGAAACTTTATCATTGTATGAAGATTGATCTAAGATCTCTTGTAGTTTTTCCACCTTTCTCTTCACAATAACAATTAAACATCACACTTCTTTAGTAAATTTGACAGATTCAACTTAACATAACTACTCTTACAGTTTCATATGTTCTCACAATACACCCCAAAAGCCTATTAAACTTACGTACCTACCTAAACTCAAATTTATAACTCATCCCTTTTTTATTTTATGTTTCTTAGGCACCAAATGTTCCTTTTAACATATAGGGCCTCTTGTTGTTTCTTGAGTTAGAATTTGAGCAAGGTATTAACAATACTATACCAAACCATTGAAACGCTCAATACTCCGGGAGTATTGGGTTTTTTGAAGTGTAGAACTTCCAAATTTCAGAAGAACTGAAAGAGAAGTGATGAAAAAAAAATACTAAAAATAGGGCTAAGCTCAGAGGAACAAATTTAAATGGCCAAAGAGACACTAAATCTCAAGTGAGTGTTCGGGCTAGCTTCAATGCACTGGATTGTGGCTTTAAAGATATAAACAACAATAACAAGAGATAATGAGCTAGTGAGACAAGAAAGAAATGAGACCTGGTAATATCAAACGTGATACAACTGAAGAAGGTCACTAGGAATAAATTTATAGAAAGAGAACAATAAGAAGAGAAAAGAAGGGCGCCAACTCAACGATAGTTGAGATTTTGAAGTAACAAATGAATCTGGAGATAATACTCTGAAATACAAAAAAAAAATACTAAATACTAATCTTGTCTTGCTATGTTATATACTGGTTAGTAGAACTGAAATAAAACTCAAAATAGCAACAATAAATATATTTATAAAAAATGTATATAGGTATATGTGTATAAACAATTTACATATAATGCAAAGCCAAATAACAGTGGTAGTGGATGGTGTACAGATACAATAGGACCTAATAGCCCCTCAACAAACGAATAGTCACTACCACTGGCCAAATAAAATATGAAATATTAGTATACAACAAGAATAGTCCGTATTGTAGCCAAAGTCTTAACACAAAAAGGTAGTAATTTAAATTTAGCTAGTTCAACTAATATGAGATACAAATTACAATATTGTAAAGATATCAAACTTGATAAATCTCTATTACAATTATATTAAATATATATTACATCCAAAAAATGAGTCTTCAATACTCTTTATATGATGTTTTAACAAAAAAAACCACATGAAATTTATTTCCCTTCCCAATATCAAAATTATATTATATCCAAAAAAAATGTATTCTATTAAAAAAATATATATATTAAATCAACAAGTGAGTTCGGTCAGACTCTTGAAATCCTAACTAAAACCTAATAACACATGAAGTGTCCCTTTTTCCTCCCCGAATATTTTATAATTAAATGATCAAAAAAAAAATGTTCACCTTGTCATATGCATATGCAGAGGGTATAATACTAAATAGGAAGTAACAAAAGTTAAACAATAAATAGATAGTAACACAAAAGTCAAATAGTTAAACAACTTATCTTTACAGCCCCATAAGTCCATAGGAAAATTCCTCTTGGCACGGCTAAATCAGTTTATGGCTGTAAAGACGAATCCTGGGCACAAAACCACAACCAGTCACTGGTCTCTGGGTGACAGCAAAATCCAGGGGTTACATAAAGTTGCTAACTAGTTTAAGGATTCAGTTACTTGAGTCCTTGAGGGAATATTCTGAAGAGAATATCCTCAAGTGAAGTGAAATTAATATTTTCACGTGACGGAATCTAAAATGAATATTTAATTTAATAAATATGTAATTTAATAGGTGTAGCAGCATGGATTGACTGCACCAAAACAAAACATCAAAACATTAGGTATTAGGTTAAGTCAACATCATGTCAAATTTATGAAGTTACTTTCGTAGGCATGGCAAGCTTGCGCCATGAAATAAACATGCGCAGAATACAGAAGGCTGTCCCACATTTGTAGAACCTTTTTATATTCCACCAAAAAAAGTTAGTTAAAAGGAAACCAAAAAAACTTAATGATAAGATATGAAATAGATCGGAATTTAAGTTTGACTATATAAAAAAAATGACCTTCTGTTCTTTGCAAGTAAATCAAGGAAATTTTATATTTAAATTATTTCGGAACTCAAAAATAAATCTCTAAAGAAATACTAAATACAATGATAAATTTGATTATATGATAAAGAGATAATACGTATAAAATGATTTACTTACATGGAGCTCGCAACACGCCAAAAAACTCTTCCTTTTTATATGGAACTCTTATAAATTAATACTTGTTATTTAAAATTAATTATTACTATTATTATTAATGAATTATATTCTTCCCCAAATTATCTTCCTTGCTCCAATTCCGTCACTTTGAAGGTGAACAATTTCACCGGTTGGCGTGTCTGCGTTGACGAGTTCTGACCAAAACTGATCGTTCTCGTACCAACTCGACCAACCTTACTTTTTAAGCGACTACTACGCGTGTGGGGAAAAAGGTCCATTTAAAAATCGATCGTAGGCGGGTAATAAAAATTTCTTGAGGGGTTTAAATTGGACTAGTCAGTAGCGTAAACGCTACACCATCTTTCAGCCATCAGTTTTCTGTTGTTCTGGCATACGTGTCCACACACAAAAACAATCTACCATCTTTAATTTTCACACATAACCAGCAATTTATGTTCATGTACTTATAACTTGGAAAAATCTTTTATTTTTATCAGGTGCCAAATGTTGTTTTTTGACATAGAGGGCCCTCCTTGCTTAAGTTTCAAGTTAAGTACTACATCAACATCACACCATAATCACATTCTTATCATATTTAAATTTCAGCTCAACAACAGATCTAAACACACTTTTTACTACAACATTCCTCATTAATGAATCTTATGGTACCCATCTTCCTACATGTGCCTTTTTTGCTATTTTTTACCATTTTCTATAAACCATGAGACAACTGCAACTAGAAAAGAAACGTACTTTAATATGTAATGCATTTAGACTTGTCAATATTACCGTTTATTCTACACTCACAGAATATTTATCGTTAAGTGCCTGTAATAAAACATGTCTTTCGTGTATATTTTGAATGGTGTTTTCTATAGCATCTTACCTACATCCCTAGTCTAATGTTGAAAACCAGACCTGTACATGGAAATTAAGTCTAAGCTGTATTTTATGGCATGCAATAATAACTGTATAAATAGTTAACAAACAATAAAAATAAAAAATAGTTTTAGAACTTTTTACAAATGTAAATATATAGAAACCTTATTTAAAAATATATGTTAATAGGTATGTTACCAGTTAGTCGAAAACTAACAAGTACCCAAACATATCATTCTTTATTATTTAATACTTTATTAACATACCCTTTGATCATTGCAGAAAATATGCAATATTATATGGTTTATTAACAGATAGCTCCTTTTCTGCTGTTATTCTTCATCTTGCTTTTTCATAAAGTTGAATTGCGGCCATAGCGTTACGGAAAACTTATGTAATGTTTTCTACTATAATTTCTGTATAAGAATTGTGTCTTACACTTTAGCATGCTTTTTGTTTGATTTGCGTTTATCGCAATGTTTTTTTTTTTTTTTTTTGGTATAAATATAATATTTCGTTTATAATTTGATTCTTTCTCAGGTATTCTTTGTACTAAGAAAACGCCAGAGGCAAATTACATTCTTACACGTCTACCATCATTTCGGCATGTTCTTGATAATCTGGATAACAGTAAGATTCGTTGCTGGAGGCTACAACACTTGGGTAGGATTGATTAATTCAGCAGTACATACTATAATGTATACGTACTATTTCTTATCCTCTTTGGATGAAAAATGGAAGCAAAATGTAACATTTAAAAAATTTATAACCCAAATACAGTTGGTAAGTAACATTTTATTATATAGTATTATTTATAATGAACGCATATGTTTGATTTGGAATCATGAACAAGAGCTTAAAAAACTTAGACCCGATCGTCGATAAGCAAAATAATATACAAAATATAACAGTAATTGTTAACCACCATAGATTTGTACAATATAATCAGAAGCCTAAAAGTTTAAAAAGGAATTAGAGTATTGTCAAAATATGAACAATATGTTCTAATAATTTTATTAATGAATTGTAAGATCTTGTAATATTTCCAAGTACCAAAACCTAAAATTATTGTTTCATTTAGTCATGATCAAGATAAACTCCTGCAGATACGTGCACTATAGCATAGTTAGTTGTAGTGATTTGGTCCTTAGATTTTTGTAAAAAGTCTCGAAAAGGCGTTTATAACTAGAATTTAAATATGCTCCAACTAAATAAGTTTTGAAAACTTTAGGAATAATTTAGAACGAAAAATCAAACGTAAAGACCCCGATGGTTTAAAATTTTATCGTGAATAATTGCTCATTGCGGAAAATTGAACTCGGGTAATTAGGTGAGCCTCTGAAATCTGTAACTACTTAAAAAGGCTAGAAAAGTTCAAATCAAAAATTCCATTCCATAAAATAAAGTCGAAAAAACATAGCACTTCGCAAACCTAAGTCTTAGTTCCAGTTTTAAATCCCTGGTACATAGCACTATTCTCATTTTGTTGAAATTTGCTCTAGCCTTTTCTATTCTTATTTTGATCTCCTGATTGTAATCATTTGTGGAGTTAATCATTGTTCCCAGATATGCATATGTTTCCACTTGTTCGACGTTGGTTCCGTTTGCTGTGATCAATATTCATGATAAAGATGTTTTAAACCTTGCTTACTTAATATTGATGATTTCAACTCACAGTGACAGTAGTAACACCCTCGTATGTTAACTTTTTTGAAATTATCGCTATGTCATTCTTGATTCGGGTCTAATCGGATGTTGCTATGCACGCATGTTGAAATTAATAACTTTGTACCCGGAGGTAAAAGACACTATGTCCATTTTCTTACTTTTTCAGGAGAGTAGTTTTTAACATTTTTTAAATTTGTAATCAGTAAATACCCAAATTTGTCTTATATTTAACCAAGATTAAAATATTATTATTGTGGTGTGTATAATTGTTTTTCGTTTTATGAAGTGTTATAGAGCTGAATTTTACCGTTCATTGTATAATTTTTTTTAATGTGTAGTTGAACATAGTGTTGTTTACCTCTTAACAATTTTTTTAAATAATGTGACATTGCATGTTAAGATCTCTACGAAATAAACAAGATATACACATTAAACAGCCTTTACTATTATTTTAGTAGAGACAAATATCATAATGTTATCAAAAATAAGTAAAAAAAAGTCTCAAAATTGTTATGACTGCATGTCATCTTCATCTTCTTGGGGTAAACGTTTGTGGCTACATCGCTATGTATTAACGCATGACAAACCGACGAAACAAAAGACAATAGTGCAATTAAGTCATTGTACTTGTGTTTTGTGATTGGTAATGGGATTACTGAGACTTGATTTAATTGGGCTGGAAATGTTACTTGCTGTCTTCGATACCTTATAAAGTTCACCTCATACATATTTTCATTATTGAAATCGGTCTAATAAAAGAGCTTTCCAATATGTTCTTGTTGAACTTGTAGAAAAACACATGTTAACAGTAGAATAGGCTTTTTGTTAACATTCCTTTTTCTACTTACAAAAGGAGGATTAGGTGACAGCTTCTTATCGAACAGCGTTTTAAGGTTTTTAAAATCTGCAAGTTCCATATTGTGCACTGTGTATTTACCTATGTTTGACTAATTAGCTGTGACCACTGTCATGGTAATAAAATAGCCAAATTTGGGAGTTTCTTTCTTTTTCTCTCGATCAAGGCCGGAACGCTGTCTGCTTCTATATGTGTGTGCCCTTTCAGTAAAAACTTTTGAGTGATCGTCATATGTTTTGAGTGATACGTCATGAAATACATATGTTGATGTATACTATTTATGGTTTTGGTAGAAGTTTTATTGATTGACGTGTGTCTACCTCTTTGATCAGCTTTTATTAAACCTCCTCGCTCAATTTTGTCAACATATTCATTACTACTAAATTAGATATACAAAGTGTGTTTAAAAACATAACCTTCCACACCTTCCATTGGTGATTGTTTACTGTAAAATGGTAGTGTAGTTTGGTAGAGTTTGAGTTTTTTTTCTTATTCGAAGAGTAGGTTGGATGTCGACACATGAGCAGATAGATTGCATTTTAACATCTGAAACGTTTGTCTCAGTCCAGTAGGAGTTAAAGATTTTTTTCTTTCGTGTTCTGGCTATCTTTCAGAGCATTTTATGCGACACATGCAAGGAGACATTTTTGTAGGCACATTTTTGCCTGCAAAAGAGAGCTTTTACTAAAATACTCTTTTCCACCTGCTATTTTCCGTTTCCAAAAATTACAGGCCAAATTTTGTTCATTCACTATACGTTTTTACCTTCATCCATTTTTCAATTATTAAACAACGACTTATTGTACAACTTTTAACAGTCTAACACTATTGCGAACTAAATAAAACAAATATTTGATCCACCAAGTACCAGGGTACATAACACTATGTCCCGATCGTAAATAACAGTGCACACATTTGGTAGAGGTAAACAACACCAAGTACACATGGTGTTGTTTATCTCTGGCTGGAAGTGGACTTGGTGTTTATTAAAAAGTCGGTAACTTGCCGTAAAATTGTCTCTTGACATAGTATGGTTTACCTCTGTGTAAAGTCAAAAAAGTTATATTTAAAAGGTCAATAATACCAATTTTGATAAAAATGGGCATAGTGTCCTCTACCTCCGGGGTACAGAACTATTTACAAGCCACTTTATTGTTAGAACTATTGAAATGTTCGCTTGGCAGTTGCCAACGTGGTCAAATAATGTTACCTTAAGTTAAATATTACTCTTATTTCTGTTAAACCAATTAACAGTATATAAGTGTTTTTGGAATTTTGTTTATGCTCCATGTTGAAAAAGTATTATAATTTTTATACTCATTTTTAATATTTAAGTTCTTTGCACAGTTTTTTACTTACATTTATAAAAACTGACTTAAGGTAAAATTTTTGTTATGAACAAAACGACCAATTTTTTCAAACAGACACTGATTATTTTCTAGTTTGAATAAATTAGTTGACTGTTAGTAGTGTAATGTTTAACCAAAATATGAGACAGATCAAACTGTCCGTTCAAAAGTTATGCCGAATAGAAATTTCCGTCAAAAATTACATCTAACACTGTATATTAACAAAAATTATACAAAATTAGCCTTTTATTGTTAAATAATTTGTAATCAACTCTGAATGTTAATTTTACACTGTATTCTAATGGACTAATGGTTTTATTTAAATATTTAACAATCTACTTTTTATTATCCAGGTACAGTTTTCATTTTTTATATTCCTCTTTGGAAGGCAGCTGTTCGTCGAATGTGGATATCCAAAACTTTTAAGCATATTCTTTGTACCTCAAAACTTCTTCATGTTGGTATTATTTTCGGACTTCTATAGACGAGCCTACTTAAAAAAGCCTGTAGCCTCAGAAAAACACGGTAAGTAAGAATGAGTGTTTATTATTTCTAACGAAAAGTGATTATTATTATTAAGTTTTGTTCGCTGCATTATTGTCATATTTTTCTGTAATCATCTAATAAAACTTTCTGAACACCATTGTTACCTTATTATAACTCATTAGTCGACTTAATAATAAATATGTGCGATAGGCACCCGATGTTGGGTGTGAGTAGCTACTCTGCATATAAGTTTATATACACAGATATACTACAGTTTAACAATAACTCCCAACAACTAAAATAAATGTAGAGTAGAGCTGTACCTACTTACTTCTATCAAAGGAATAATGAAATGAAATCTATTCTCTGTTCACAAATTGTTGATAGCACGAAATATGCCTCAAAATCATCAAACGGTCGTAAAATTTGTATCATCATAGGCGTTCCTGAGGTGTTTATTCATTAAAATTAATATTAATATTAATAATGTTTTAATACTGATATATTTAGTAAAAAACAATTAAAACTTTGACGGCTAATGTTGGTTATTATATTATATTAATAAAAATAATAATTTAACCATTAACAATTTTGTAAATTAGAATACCTTATCTCTTTGGATATTTCAATACTAATCTTCGCGTTTAATCACTTCACACACACACACACACAATCACGCTAAGCGATCAACCCTACCCCTAGGAACATGTGTATACCAAACTAAGTATGGGATCCACATGTCCGAAGATCAAACCGGTCACACTTCACTAGTTGAAGTGGTACCTATCTGACCCCCAGGCTTTTCCACCACCCCTCCTCATCGTGTGACTTACGTGAAGAGGCTTATGATCTGAAAGTTACTTGAGGTGCCCTGGGTAATGAGACACCTCCTGTTTTTAATTACTGTGGTTATGCCACCTGACTGTAGGGGTAGCCACATCTAGGCTTTTCTCCCTATTTACTTTACTGACTCTATAGATTTTACTCTAACTTCACTTCGGGACTGAAGTCCCTAAAAAAAAGAAAAAGAGCGTGTGTTCCGTCCATGAAGCCGACAGCCTGGGCTGTCGACTTCATGTCCGGAAAAAAGTGTGTGCTCGGTCACTCAGCCGCCGATTTGGCAAAAGTAAATTTTGTTCTCCTCGCCGGCTGGGCGCCCGAAGTGTGTCCGGCCACCGAGCCCATGCTTGCCGCACATGACCTCAGTGCTCGGGTGTCGCGAAAAGGATCAGCATTCATTTGATCCGCCTTAAGGGCCTAATCCGCATCAGCGGTATATAGAAGGCCTGACGGGCCTTCTATATAGAAAAATAGGATGAATTTTACGTTAAAACGTTTAATGAATTGAAATTGATTTTTGAAGTTCTGAATTTAAAAGAAAAACAACCGATTTTTTTTTTTTTTGGGGTCTTCCTTGGCGTTGGGACTATAAAATGCCGGCACAATTCTTACCCTTTTATTCTTACATGCTAATTTGTGTGGGTGTGTTGGGGTGTGCATTGCAGGGTGTATATGGCCTCCACACACCCCGGTGTATATTGTGTATATTTGACGTCTTTGCGACCATCTCATTCTTCATTTATTCGTTGGGGACCCTATATCCGGCTATTTGCTGTTTAGGTCTTCTGTGTACCGTCCTGGTATTTGCGTTGTAGTTAGTCAGCTCTCTTAACATGCTACTTGGGTGGTTGTTTAGTCCGTTGAATAGTTCGTATGCCTTTTTGTCCATTGTGTGAAGGATCCTTGTTTGTCCTGAGTCTCTGTATAAATTTCTCAGAGGTACATATCTCGGTAAGTTCAGGGCATCTCTTATTAGTTGATTTTGTGCTGTTTGTATTTTTTTCCTGTTTGTTTTACAGGTGTGTCCCCACGCAGCAGAGGCATACGAAAGGACTGGCAGGATAATACTATTCGCAATCCTGATTTTGGTTTTAAACCTTAGCTTACTTCTTCTACCAATAAGCGTTGAGAGCTGATTTTTCAGCGCTTTGGCTCTATACGTTTGCTGATTTATGTGCTGCGTAAATGTGAGTTTTTTGTCTAGTAACACTCCTAGGTATTTGGCCTCGTTTGTCCATTCTACTGGGGTGTTCCCAATCATTAGTTCTCGGTTCGGTACACTTCTTCTGTGACTAAACATTACAGCCCGTGTTTTATCCGGGTTTAAGGCTATTTTCCATTTGATGCACCATCTTTCGAATCTAGTAAGTGCTCTCTGCAGATGATTAGCTGCATGATCTGGATTTCTCCAGCTAACAGCTATTGCTGTGTCGTCGGCATAAAGACTCAACAGGGAACCTGGTTCTTTTGGCGTGTCGGCCGTATAGATGGTATACAGGTAAGGAGACAGAACAGCTCCCTGAGGCACACCTGCTTCCAGGATCCCGACTTCGGACAGAGTTGCCCCCGTTCGAACCCTGAACCTTCTGTTGGCTAGGTATGATCCAAGGAGGCATGTCATCGCCTCGCTGTATCCCATAGAGTTCATTTTGTAAATGAGTCCATCATGCCAGACCCTGTCAAATGCTTTACTGACGTCCAGAAATGCTGTTGCCGTATACATTTTTTCGTTATAGCCTTTTGTTGTAAATTCAGTAAAACGTAGAACTTGTAGTTCGCATGAATGTTCGCTTCTGAATCCAAATTGAGCTTCTGATATGATGCCTAGTGCTTCCGATTCGTCGTTGAGTCTTTTTAATATAACTCTTTCCGCTATCTTGCTTATTGATGATAGTAGGCTGATAGGTCTGTAATTTTGCGGAAAAATGCCATCCTTCCCTGGTTTTTTAATCATGATAATTTGTGCCTCCTTCCATCTATCTGGAAAATATCTTAGTTTGAGCATGTTGTTTACAATGTTCGTTATGTAGACAGTAGCTTTGTTGGGTAGATTTTTTAGTGCCCTGTTTGTGATGTTGTCAGGTCCTGGGGCTTTTTTGGCGTTTGTTAGTTTTATTAGCTCTTTTATTTCTTCGGGAGATGTATGTGTTATTCCTACTCTGCCCTTTCTTCTCTTTAGTCTTCTGGCTGTTCTTTCTACCTCTTCTTCAAAGTCTATGTCTTCATTGGGATTTTCGTTATTTCTACATGCCCTTTCTAGTTCGTCCTTTAGGACTTCAGCTTTGTCTATTTCCGTGTGGACAATCCCATTTACTCCATGTAAGGGAGGTATGGGTTTCTTGTCCTGTCGGAGGATTTTCGATAATTTCCAGAAGGCGGATTTGTTAGGGTCTAATTCTTGGATATAGTTGTCCCAGCTTTCATTTCTGTGATTTCGTAGTTGTCTTTTAACTTCCCTGTCTAGCTCATTTGCAATCCTTTTATCTTCTAATGTTCTAGTACGATAGGCTCTTCTTCTTTTTCTGTTTTTTTCTTTAATTAAGTCTTGTAGATCCTGACTTATATCTCCGAATCTTCCTTTTGTCTTGTGATTGTTTCGGTTTTGGAGCTGGCATCGATAGCATTAATTATAGTTTCTTCTAGTTTGGTTACGCTGTCTTCTAGTTCTGTGATGTTGTTTATTGTTGGGATGTTACCGATGTTTTCGCTCACAATTCTTCTAAAGTTTGGCCAACTTGTTATCTTTCTTTTGTGGGGCTGCGAATAGTTTAGTTCTATTGCGCCCAGGGTCAAAACGATTAGATTGTGCGTCGAATCGCCTTCGTTTAGAGAGCGTATCTCGTATTGTTGACCCACGTTGTGTAGGATTGCAATGTCTAGATGTGGAGGGAGTTGTCCGTGAAAACAGGTCGGTTCTGTTGGTCCGATCACGTAGGTGTTTGGTCTATTTTCGAGATGGCCGCAAAGTCGTCTCCCGTTATTGTTGGTTGCTCTATCGAACCAGTTGGGAGATCTCGCATTAAGGTCTCCTATGATTACCGTGGGCTCTTCTGTGTCGAGGATTAGGCTCAAATCTTCATCGAATATCGGTTCGTTAGGTCTGACATAAGCTGACACTATTTTTAGTGTTTCGTTGTTGGCCTTTAGTCTTACTAGCGTGGCTTCCATTGTGACCAGTCCACCTGGTGTTGGGATGTGTTCATGTTCTATGCCTTTTTTAACTAGTATGGCTGTTCCTCCTGATCTTGCTCTATGGTCAGTTCTATAGATATCGTAGCCTGGAAATTTGGTTTTCTTCCTTTCCACTAGTTTCGTTTCTTGAAGGGCTACGATATCGAGCTCTAATCTATTTATCATTTCGTCCAAAAGGTTGAGTTTTTGGAAAATTCCACCGGAATTCCAGGACCCTATGCGTAGATCTTCCGTATGGTTCGCTAACATTGTCGATTTATTTCACCAAATGCAGTCATCATTTTTGTGGCCCTATCCATCACGGACATCATCTCCATCATTTTCTTATTGTATTCCGTCTGGAATGTGGCAATGAGTGCGGCTGCGTCTTGCATCGTTGGGGCCGCTTGTTCTGGGGTTTTCTTAGCTGCTTGTGCGTAGCTGAAACCCGTGGTTGTTGTTGTTGGGTTGAGTGGTCTGCCCGCCGGTTTTACGGGGGCAGGGGTCTTCTTTTTTGGAGCTTTTGAGCATCCTCTGTAATTGGCCGTATGCGCCTGTTCGCAGTTGGCGCATTTTGGAGCCGTTTCTTTGCTTTTTCCGCACTCATTGCTGAGATGGTTTTCACCACACCTTACACATCTGGAGTCGCAGTGGCAAGCCTTTGAACTGTGGTAATAACCCTGGCAGTTGAAACACTGTAGGGTATCTTTTGTGGTCTTGATTTCGTCTTCGAAACGAATCTTCATGTAGCACAAGTTTGTTATTTTGCGTATTTTTTGTGTGTTATCCTCTTTGAGGGTGATCATAAAGAAAGGCAGTATTGGTTTTCCCTCTTTTTTAGAGTACATGTTACTGACTCTAGTTACGTCGACGTCTTTATTTCTTAATTCATTAAGAATAAGTTCGGTGCTTGTGCTCGCCGCTAGCCCTTTTAGGATTACCCTCTTTAATTTGTCGCTGTCTATCGGGTAGGCAACGTACTCTACCTTCGGGGTGTGTTCTTCTAGTATTTTGACTACTCCTAGGTA